ATACTATGTATGGGAGCAGAGCAGGGATAGGTGAGGGACTAGTGGTGAGTCTTCAACGGACCGGCAGAGCTGATTTTCTTTTGTGACTGTTTTGTTGTTGAGCTACTTGGGATAGTAGTATTGGATTGAAATTTTAGTACACTTTAACTTTGTTCAGATTTGACCATGTATATGTATATTCTAGACTCTTTATGTATACAATTGTTCTTTTCTGTGCGGTGTTTCTAGTGTGTTGTGCCATGTGTAGTTACCAGTCAGGTCGTTACACTTGGTAGGGCGCCGGGAGTAGTTCTTGACACCGGGCGGGTGACCATCAGAGGGTTTTATTGGGCAAGCCCGCCGGGCGCAAGGTTGTGCGCGTCGGACGAGCTTGAGAATGGAAGCCCCTGGATGGCTCACGCTGGGCGTGGTTGGACCGCGCTGGGCGCGATTGACCTAGCATTTTGGGGTTCTAGTATAGCGTCGGGCGCGACTATGTCTCGCCAGGCGTGGAGACTCCCTGGGAGTCTCTGCAAAGGGTGGCGCCGGCGCAATTTGGTGAATATGTCATTACTTTAGATGGGGAATATTTCTTTTTAATATTATTATTATAAAAAAAATATTATTTTTAATTAAATCATATATCTATTATATGTTATACACGTCTATAGTTTAAAATATTTTTATATTAGAACTTATATCAACAAATTATTAATTTAAATAGTAGTGAACTTGAGCCATCCAGCTTCTAGCATATTTTAGTTTGAGAATAATTCTCATCCAAAATTTATTCTTAGAGATATACATATTAAATCATTTATGAAATTCACAATTATAAAAAGAGATAATTTTTTTTAAATGAGCAATTTTTATAAAATAAGTAATTAGAAATAATCTATATATGAAAAAAAAACTATATAATTTATACTGTCTATATATCTATATTTATAAAGGGATTATCTATTTAATATATACATTTTTTAAACAATCTTATCATTAAATTTTAAAATAATAAAAATAATATTTAAAATTAATTATTTTTATAAAAATAAGACTTGAAATCAAGACATTTAGATTTAAAAATCAAATACAATATCAATTAATTTATCAAACATCAATTTTTTAAAGACGTTTATTAAATGAAATATGTGAACACAAAATATCTCGACTCTACTAATCTATTATAAAGGAAATAAGTTTTGTCAACTATCTTTTTAATTTTCACTTTTTCAATGGACACCCCCAAAATTTATACGGCACACTTTAATAATCATATTCTCTTAAAATCTCTTCGATGATAAATATATAGAAGTGCGAAGTATTTTTTTTTTTCTTCTACCAATTAATAAATAAAGGAGATACATTTACAATAACTACATTTGACCTTCATAATTATTGAACTATTATATCCTTATTAAGAAAAATAAAACAAAAAAAAAGAATTAATTTTATTTTTACTGCTATAATTAATGTTTTACATACTCCATTATCTTTTATTTTTTTAAAATAAATATTAAAAATGACAAAGTGAAGTTTGGTTGTAGTGATTCTTTTTCCTTGTGAACTTAACTTCTTTCAAATGATTCAAAGTTGATTGTACAACACATTCACCACCATCTACATACTACTATCAAGAAGATTCAAACATTTTAGGATTTGGATTGAGAGATTATATTTCAGCGTATGTATAAAGAAAGAGACTAGTATATTAGGGAGTGATCAAACCAATGATTATAAAAAAAAAAAACTATAATCATAATTAACCGGTTTAATAATAATTAATTATTTAAAAATATTATAAATATTAACTATACCTTAAATGGTTATTAATTATAACTATTTTTTTTATAATTGGTTTTAATTTATCATAACCGGTGATTTAATAAGTTATCACCAAAACTAATTTTAAAATTTTTAAATAAATTAACTTTTAAAACTAATGAACATGATAAACTTTTATTTCATGTAGTTAAAATTTTAATAAATAATTTTTAATATACAAATAATATCAATTGAAAATAATATAAATAAATATTTTTAATTTATTTAAAAATATTAAAATTTAATATAGAGATAAAAAAATAAAAAATTAAAAATTTTATAGTTTTAAAAGAAAATTCTAAAAGGTCCTTATTAAAAAAATAGTTAAAAACTTTCTTGTTAACAAATAATTTTTAAAAACCCTCTCATTTAAAATAATTATTTTAATCTGCACTAATGAATAAGGACGATACATTTTTTATATACATATTTTATTTACTACTTTTATCCTTAACTTTTAAAATACTATTTTTTCTTCCATATTTTTTTTATTTCTTATTTATTTTTTTCACTTCTTCATAATTTTATTTTTTAAACATTTCACACCCTTTAAATAACCAATTAAAATCACTCACATTTTCTAATTATTCATGACTCACACATATTTAACATCAATTAATTTTATTATTTATTATACTTTTTTATATTTTACATAAATATAAAAAGATATGAAATACCATTTTACGATCATTTATATAACAAAGATTGCTAAAATATACAAAATTACTGTAAAAATGCATTCATGAGGACCCTAGTGTATAGATGGGCTAGCAAAAGAGGCTTTCTCTTTCGGTTTTTTTCTTCTTCTTCTATTCATAAAAAATATAATACGTTTTTTTTTTTATCTGGACTTGTTTCAAAATGAATCAAATCAATATGTTTCGGCAACTTATATTCATTTTTTAAAATTAAAAACATTATTTGGTGATTTATATTTATTTTCGACTTAAATATGTTTTTAGTCCCTTAAATTTAAAGTAAATTTATTTTTGGTCTCTCAAATCTAAAATTATTATTTTTAGTCCCTGAAATTTTTAAAAATCTTGTTTTAGTCCCTTAAATCATTAATAACATATTTGAAAGTGACTAATTAAGATAGTTATACGATATTAACTAGATTTATTGTGATATTTTCACTAATAGAGATACCGATAAGTAGATTTTATACAATAATGTTTAATAAATTTTTTAACAAAATTTGAATATAAAGACTAAAATAAGGTTTTTTGAAATTACAATGACTAAAAATAACAATTTTAAATTTAAGAGACCAAAAATAGATTTATCCTTAAATTTAAAGGACTAAAAATATATTTAAGCTTTTATTTTCTAAAATTAAACATTATTTGAATAAACAAAATTGGAGATGCGGGGTATCGATCCCCGTACCTCTCGCATGCTAAGCGAGCGCTCTACCATCTGAGCTACATCCCCTTTTCCTTCTCTGTTTATTGAAGCTTTTATTCAAAACTATATCAATTAATACCCAAAATTCAAATAAATAAATAAAGCTATTAAAGCGAGGAGCATGAGCAGGCATGGACGCCATGTATTTGACTCAGTTTCTGGTTGCCAATTTTATTTTAATAAATATTTCAATATCTCTACTTTTCTACTTACATTAACATAACTTCTTATACCGGGCTAGATACCGGGCTAGAGGGAGGGGGGACATGGGTAGGAATGACAAATATATCTTTACTTGTAAATAGTATTCGAACTCGTCCCAACTTTGACGGAAAATACTCGATTTGATTGGCTATGGATAAAATCTGATATGTTAAATCGGGTACGGATAAAACTCGATATATTAAATCGAGTATGGGTAAGAATATATACTTATCTTGCCCGTACCCGTACCCGTTCTCATTCTTAATTAATACTCACTTTTAATTTAATTATGTTAAAGAATTTTAATATTTTATTATGTGTGATTATTTATTATAATATATGATACAGAAATAATCTAATTATAATTATAATATAATAGACAAATAATTTAAATTTTTTTTTTTTACAAAAAATTAAAAATAAAAAATTAACGGGTACGGGTATACCCGATACCCAACGGGAATGAGGATGAAAATGAAAATTACATACTTGACGAGTACGAGTACGGGACGGCTTTGACTCGGGGGACAGAGATGGGTATCATGAAACCTATACCTAACCCGCCCTGTTGCCATCCCTAGACATAGGAGATATGGTTCCGTGTTTTTTTTTATAAATATATTTAAATTATTACAAAAATATTTTTATGGTTCTCTTAAAATTTATTAAAAAAATTAAAAACTGATAAATAAAAATTATCATCTTAATTAGTCCTTAAGAAGAAAAAAAAATACAGATATGATTCATATATATATATAGTGTGATATAAAGAATAATTTTTTATATAAAGAATAATTGAAAAATTATAAACACCAATGAAATTGAGGCACTTCATAGTTTTATAATTATTTATTACCATAATTTTTATAACTCTTTGCAGTTATCTATAATCATTAACACTAGATGGAATATGGCTATTTTGACTCTTTAATTAAAATAAAATAAAATTTATCCTCTAGTAATAATAAAAAATATATATATGTAAACTAAAATCGACTATTAACTTTATTTATTGTTATAAAATAATAGAATATATATATATATATATATATATATATATATATATATATGATAGTGAAATAAAAAAACTGTGTTACTGTGTTTAAGTTTTGTTTCGTTATTTTTTTAAAAAGAAAATTAAGGAGAGTTCTTTAAGTTAGATGTACTCATAAACGGATCATTGAATCCAATAGAAACTGAAAAGCAAATAAACAAAAAATGAACAAATTAACCGGAAATTCTGAAACATTTTATTGAACATGGATGAAATTTTGAATTTTGAAAATTGATGTAATATATAATCTAACTCAATCTAAATGGAACTTAAACGTGTATATATTTCAGTTTATAATTTTATCTTCCCCTACTCATGTTCCTATTTAACTTTTTTATTTCTTACACATTTGAAGAATTACCAATCGAATTCAGAGCTTTAAATTAAATATGAATTTTAAACAAATCAAAATGAAATAAAACAATTTATCTCTTCCCAACTGAATCTACGAACAGTCGAAGTTTGAGCGACGAAGCAAGAACTGAATTAATAAAGTGTGTGTGTGTGTGTAATAAGCAGTAAAAGGTGGATGAGATGAGAGATAATTATGTAACCTTAAAGATGGAAAAGCTGAGTAAGTTTTTGAAACGAGTAAAAGTAAGTAGAGCAAAGGGGTTACAAGAAAGAGCATGAAGCAGCAAGGAAATTATTGGGAAAGGCAAATATGTATATGTGTGATTTGAAATAGTATGATGTGGATTATGGAAACATAAAAGAAAAGTAGGATTAGGCAAACATGTCTCGGAGGGTGGGGAGCTTGATCTCACCCTTTTGAGAAAGGGGAATGGTGAAGTTGCCAATGACAGGAAGGTCGATGACGAGACCAAGATCCAATTGATAATCGATGTCCCAATCTGCACCAATGTCCTTTGCCAGACTCAGCAACACGCTGTGAGGGACCTTCACTGGAACATCCAACATGGTTGTGTCCTTTGCCTTCAACGACCCTGGGTCAGGTATTGTCCCCGATGCAATCTCCCTTTCACAACCCAACACACAAATATTATGATTATTCTGATCACATGCATTAAATTAAATTAAAATAAAAATTAAAAATAAAATGATTTTGGATTTTGATTGAATAACCTGCCAGCACTCTTGAGGGAGTATTTGATCTCGCAAATGGGGAGGGGAGTGGAGTAAGGGTTGGAAACAGAGACCTTGGCCAAGTACTGGACGCCGTCGCGCCCCACGCGCGTGAAATCCACGTCGTTCACAGTCGCCTCCGGCTTCGGCATGTTCGTGACTTTCTCCGAAACATAGTTTTTGGCTTTGTCCAACAACTGCGACATCTTAGGCGCTGCCAATATGAGACTCACACCGATGACACCCAACGATACCTTGGCACCCAAACTCAAACGCATACTTTTATAAGCGCAAAGGGCAAAAAGGCCAAACGCGGTGCCCACACGCCACGACGTGTCGTTTCACGTGGCCCCTCTCTGTTCGCGGATCTCGACTTTTGAGGCACAAAGGAATCCAATTAGATCCGATGATGATGATGATGATGATCACGACGCCCAGTATGGCCTAATGCTTCTCAATTCTCTTTTTATTATGCCGCGTCGCTCAACTCTCAACTCTGCGCACCAACCATTTCGCCATTTTTTTTTTTTACCAAAATTAAATTATTTTTTATTTTTATCAAATCAAAATATTCTTTTCTTATGATTTTATTCTTTATTTATAAAAACTCTCACATTAATTTATTTCATTTCCATAAACTCTATAAAAGTATATTTCAAAACACCTTGTAAAACGATAACCTTTTTTTTTTTTTTCATTTATTTTCTATAAATTGGTAAAACAAAACCAACACGTCCTTCCTATCAGAATTGATTTCGTCAAGTTTTGAAATTGAATTTTGTAAATAAAAAGCTATAATTAGGAAGAGAGATTCCTTTAAAGGGATTAGTCAAATTTTAGATAAAAATTAATTATCGATGAAACAGAATCTTAAAATTAAAATACAATTTTAAAGTTGTAAAGAATAGAAATGCATGAAATAAGATTTTTTTTTTCAATTTTAAATTACATATGTTTGGGTAGTATTATATATGTTCAAATCTAAAATCAAATTAATATCATCTTATTTACAATTTTAAAATTTAAATCAAACAAAAGATTTATGAGTTCTTGAAATGCACTATTTAATAGGTCAATAACTAAAATAGTCGATCAACAATCAATATAAAGAATTAAAAAATTTAACATGTGGTTAAATTTTAACTCTGCCATTAAACGTCTCTAGATTCCTAAAAGGTTTATGAAGCTATCAAGCTTCAAATAAAAATAATTAAGTATCCAATTCTCATTCCTTTTCATTGTTGTCATGTGAAAATGTTTAATCAAAGTTGATGTTTTGATTCTTGTGTTGCAGATTGAACCTCAATTTGATTATTAGGGATGTTTCATTGCAGGTTCTATCGATATTGTTGAATCAGGCAAAGAATCATTTAAATTGATCAAGAATTTCACAAAATTTGGCTAACATCAATGATGATTGTGGTTTTTCTCTAGTCGATGTTATAACGACTTGTCATGGTCTCTACACTTAGTGGAATCACACTACTACTAGTGAACTAAGAGAAATATTAAGTTGGATAACTCATACATACAAGTATAGATAAGAATAAAAATAACTAAGTTTCTTAATTACAAAATAAAACGCCATATATGTACAGTCATCCAAAAATAATATCCCTAGTGCCGGTCAAGCACAGACAAAATCGTTACCCAAAATGGTAACTCTAACACGAGGATCAAACTCTCCGTCTCGCAACGGTCACCTCAACTCCAAGCTATCCCTGACCTGCTCCCATACAAGGTATGATCATTGCAGTCCATCCACATGGAAATAGAAGGGTAAGTTAGAGTTCAAAATTCAATCATACAAGTATAGAACAATAATCTATACTACACAATCATCCAACTGTCAATTATATTCATAGAGTCACACCATACACTCTATCCAATACTACTCATGCATAAAATACAATCCATCAATCATGAAGTCAAACACCATACTTCATCATATTAATAATCATGCAATAAATGCATCTCATGACAGATATCAATACATATCAATCATCTAATGCGTCGTCACGCATACACCTAGGAGATCTCCCTAACAATAGAGTTGTATAAGTGACACTCCATCCTATCGAAACCACCCCAACCGTTTTCACGCCCAATGCGCCCGCTCGGTCACAGCTAAACAGGATATAATCCTCACTCGGGTTTACTCGGATGATGTCACTTACACAATTGGAAGTCCAGATCCACCGTCAGGTATAGCACAGCTGGGTACGGGCTTACCATGACCTTGACATGCATAACCAAGTCAATCGTGGAGTTCGCCCATCGACTATCCGCAAGGATCCACGCACCTTCCCAAGTACTTGGTTAAGGGAATAACCCTCGACCTCATACCCCGCTCCAACACTAGCTAAGGACTTAGAGGAGACTCACCCAACCCAGTGGCCTACCTGAGCACCACTCTCCCAAATCCAGTGGCTTACCTAAGCACCACTCTCATATATCAGTGGCCTATCAAAGCACCACCCTCAAGAGATTTTATGTGAGCTCTTCTAGTTCGAAAATATTTTTCCTCTCCTCAAGTCCTAGGCTAGACTCATGCCATAAGGCATCACATGCAATCATGCATCATACATCATACATGGTCTGCCCACCATCATGATCAACAATCATATACATGTCATAAGATATCACATGCTATAATGCATCACACATCATACATGGTATACCCACCATTATGATCAATAATCATACACATATGAACATATACTCATGCCATATCATATTTAAACATTCATATATATCATCACTATGCATACATATGAATCACACCTCAGCATACATCATATATCATACATACATGATCCAAAACTTCAACTTAACATGCATTAGCATCATTTTATTCATAAACATGTTCACGCCCGGCGCAACCTGAGCTCGCCCATCCTAATCCCAACCTGAGAGTCCTAAAACTCATCCACACCCGGTGCGTTCAACTCACGCTTGGTGTCCTTGAGACAGAGACTCCTAAGAGTCTCCACGCCTGACGTAACCAAATCACGCCTGGCCCAACATCCAACCCGAGAGTCCTAAGCTCTTCCACGCCTGGCGCACTCAACCTGCGCCTAGCCTAAACCCAGTCAGAGAGTTTCAAAACTCTCATCCAAATCAACAAATCCAGCCACATGCAAACACAAAACACAATGCATAGGCTCCATGCAACTCAAAATAAACTTAAATCTCACATGCATCCAACCTATGCATCAAAATCATCAAACTCCTCCTTTTTTTCTCAAAACCCCAAAAATGAGATTTTCTTCAATCCATCTATGGATACTCAACATTCATGCATCAATTGAGTTTCGAAGCTCACATGCAACCTAAACAACAAACATTCTAGCTTCCTTCACCTGAAGATTGGCTCAAAATAGCCAATAACTGAGAAAAAGTAGAATTCTCTTCCGAAGCTCAACCTGGAACTTCAATCCTCCCAAAACAAGCTTCCTAATCTGAATTTCAAGAAAAGACAGAAGATATTAGTGATCTAGAGGAGAAAAGGAATCATACAGTGAAATTTGGAAGAGAAAGGAGCTCACAGACCCAGAGTTTTTCTCTCTAAAACTTCTTTCTTAAAAAACTTCACTTTCTCCTCAACCACAACCCCTATTTATAGAAGTTCTGGAGTGGCCAGAACGCCCTGTTCCGAATCCGGAACGGCCCGTTTTGCACCACTTCATCACGTACAAAAATCACATGCAGAACGGCCCGTTTTGAAATCAGAACGGCCCGTTCTGGGACTCATCCAGAACGGCCCATACTCCCTCTAGAACGACCTGTTCTCCAACCAGAACGACCCGTTCTAGAGTTTGGAACGCCCCGTTCTCAACTACATTTTATAGGTCAATTCAGTAGTTTGGAACGGCCCGTTCCAGTTTGGGAACGACCCGTTCTGGGCTACTGAATCACCCATACTAGGCTTTTGGGCCTTCTGAAACAGCTTACTACGTTACAGATGTTCATAGTGTCATCTTGAAATAGAGTAATCAACATGAAATTTATTGTGTAATGATGGTTGTATTGATAAAGTCCTTTAGGATATTATGTTATATGTAGTTACTAGAGGATTGCGATGGGTTACGAGAGATGTGTGTCATGAATATACACAAAAGGCAGTTGTTCTGTTGTTAATGGACCTTTGTTATGTTAGGTCCGCTTGCATGACAAGTCAAAAAAACATTAATAAAATTCATTTGTTTTTGTTTGGGGGAGGGATGGTTTTAGGTGTTTATTCTTTTAATTTATTTTTTCCATGATTCTCTCTCCTCCTCCTCTTGTGTTGTGTTTTCGATTACTCTTTCTCTTTCTCTTTCTTTTTTCTTTTCTCTACATTATAAATTATTTTATATTATTATACTACGTTCTACGTATAATTGGTTATTGTTTCATAAATCCAATCAATTAAACGATAAACGATTGACAACTCGATAAGATACATGGTAGTCAATACACACTTTAATTTATTTTAATTGCGTTATCTGTCTCATAATTTCATAATTTATAGTAATTAACATGATTTTTTTTTGTAGTGTCATTTTGGTAGTTAAAATAAAAGACAATCAATACAATTACAATTAATTCATTGTTACATGTATGTTCATGGTATGATTTTATGATTTCGTTTAACAAATAATGTGGTTTATATTTTTATGATTAGAAAAGAATTCAAAGTCTCTTTCAATTAAATAACTCGTTCAAAATTATAATTAAAATATAATAATTAAGTTTGCTACTAATTGAGTGGAACGACCATTACCAAATTGATAATATAAACAATGCAATAAATTATGTGTCATTGTTTTGTTCTAATTATTGAAAATAGCATGTCATGTGATTTTGTTAAAATTAATTACTCTTTTAATTTTTCCATAATAGAATATCAGACATTACTTTATTATTATGAAATATAATAACAATTGAAGAATGTTTAGGATTGACTGAATGTGTGAAAATGTTCTAAGATTTTCATCGATATGCACTCTTGATGTGAATAGTATTTTAAAGCTAATATAAAAAAAATATTTAGTGTGAAAAGCGTTTTAAGATTTTTTTTTGCGTGAACAGCGTTTTAAGGTCGACATAAGAGAAAAACTTATTGACATGAAAAACGTTTTAAGGTTGACAACTACAAATAAAAATCTTTGATATGAAGAGCGTTTTAAGATCAACGACTACAAATATGAAGTCCTTAATGTGAAAAATATTTTAAGGTCAACAATTATAAATAAAAATATCATTGGTGGGAAGAGTGTTTTAAAATCAGCAATTATAAATAAAAAAATCATTAACATGAAGAGTGTTTTAAGGACGGCTCCGAAAGTTATTCTCGACCGGCTTATCAGGTTTCGCCGCCACTTCCGCCCGGGCTTGGTTACAGAACTCGGCTAATTCTTCCATTTGCATGTATTTGTCGGCTCGCCGACGC